TTTCGCATCCTATTCTAATTTCAAATTTTAGAACAACAATAAAATTAAAAAATTTATTGAGATAACTTTTTAATATTTTGGCGGTCAATGACTAAACTTATAATGCTCATTATATTTTAAATAAAAAACTCGATCAACCTGTTTTCATTGGAGATTAATTTCGATTTCAAACTAAATGTGACACTAACGTAACTTTGTAATTTACGTCGTACATATTTCACACTAATAAGCGGGCATTATCATCATCTATTTGCCACTAACTGCATTTTAATTACCTATATGCATATTAAAGTTATGAATTATTTTCCATGCTATATATTAATCTCAAATTTTCGGAACCGCACGTCAAATTTATGGTCCGGCGTCCGGCGGCCTCACAGAAGCCGAACTATCGGATAAATATTCAACATTATAAATAAACCGCGACCTAGACAAGCGCGGACAAAAAAAAACAACCACTCAAATGTAAATTATTAAATACTCTACACTCCGGCCCGCAGTAAACGTCATGACGATCAGCTGATCAAATATATTGCTACTATAAAAAGTGAAAACGCAAACTACTCTGCCCCTGTATCGCTGTCGCTGTCGCACGTGCCGGCGGGACGCGCGTGCGACAGAGACGCCGCTAAGTAAGGCCGACCGTCGCGTAAAATGATATATTAATGTCAGCTGTGTTTAGGACCTCGTGAGTCTACAAAATAATAGATGGTCACAAATAAATTACTCGCCGAGTGCATTTCTGAACGAAATTCGGGCGGTCGTCGACCTCGACCGTGGCGCGTAAATCACGATTGATATACGACTTGCGAAGGTCGCCATCTTGAATATTGTGTTCGAAATTTGAATCTCTGCTGAATTGGCTTGTTCAGAATGTGTCAAAACATTATATTCAATGGTATATTTGACTTTTTGGATCATTTTTAGAAGTATCCCAGGAATTCTGACAGATACTCTTTATGGTCGCACGCTATAATAGTTCTAGAGCCTTCTATATAAGTTTTCAGCTTTACAACGTACTATTAAAATTGTTTTGGTATAACGTTCTACTTAGTGCCTCTCATACATGAGTTTTGGACCCTAGTTCGACACACATTTCAAACTTTTCAAAACAAGACCAGTCTTATGACAAAGACGATTGCGTGTATTCCTTTGTCTCACCCTAATTAAAAACTTAACAGTTCCGCAGTCGGCAATGAATTCAACTTTTTGTTTCTTAAAAATGTAGTTTCCCGTCCCTAGTAAAACAACAAAGCTGAAAGCCGACGCGCGAATGTTCAAACCATAGACAGAAAAACCATAGATCTTATTAGCAGAGCTATACATTTCAGAGATGCAAATGATCGTGTTGATAAACAAAAGAACTTAATTAGTGGGGTAATGAGCGAAATGCAATTGCAATTAGAGTGGATAGGCTGCAGATGGCGTCAGATACTGTCACTCTGACGTGTGATAAATGGTGTTGTGATATTATATGACACAAATTGAACAATTAGCTGTTGAAATGTTAGATGTGCCGGCGTTGATTGGGGCGACGCAGTTTGTAGATGTTACGGTAGATATACAAGGGCTAGAAAAAAGGCGGGAAATTGCACTGTTTGAATGGCTCGTTCGAATTATTTTTGAATTTAGAAAAGGCCGGAACTTTAAAAAGTTCCGTAGTGATAGGAGTGGCTCATTGAACATGTTTGTGTTTGTAAAAAGGCGCGAAATTGCAATCTGTTTGAGTGGCTCGTTCGAATTATTTTTAAATTTAAAATAGGCAGGAACTTTATAAAGATTCGTAGTGATACGAGTAGCTCATTGAACATGTTTGTGTTTGTAAAAAAGCGGGAAATTGCAAACTGTTTGAGTGTCTCGTTCAAATTATTTTTAAATTTGGAAAAGGCGGGAATTTTAAAACGATTCTAAGTTATACAAGTGGCTCATTGAACATGTTTGTGTTTGTAAAAAGGCGGGAAATTATAAACTGTTCGAGTGGCTTGTTCGAATAATTTTTGAATTTGGAAAATGGCGGGAACTTAAAAAATATTCTTAATGATACGAGTGGTTTACTGAACGTGTTTGTGTTTGAAAAAAGGCTGAAATTTTAAAATGTTTTCGAGTTGAAGAATAAGTGTAAAATTGCAAATGTTTCTTAATGATACAGGGGTAGAAATTATAACGGTCTGAGCTTAGGTTCGATTCCCTAGCGGTGTCCTCCTAAAGTCGTATCCGTCAGGCGGGAGTTGGCCTTTAGCAGCTCCATAAGTCCTTAGTTTGGAGTGCCATCTGCACTCACATACGCCTCCTATCGTCCAGTGAAGCTGTACAGGCCAACAGCATTAGAGTAGCCCGAAAAACGGCCCATATTTGAGGCTAAATGCGAAGAATAAAGTCCATATTGCATTATATTATATTTGCCATTGGAATTACATAAAAAACTCTATGATTGGAGTATCCTCAGTAAACAAAATATTCATCTACCGATTGTTCGTAGTTACAATACAATACTGGTCATGTTGATAGTGGATACGTATCAGTGGCCGTGTAATAGCTCCTCACGGAACCATTAATCAGTTTTAGAGACCCGTTGGCGGATAATTGTCTTTATTTTTTTATTATCTATGCTATATTTCTACTCTATGGAGATATAGAATATAAATAATAATAATAATAATCTTAGGACAATTCACACAGCGCCATCTAGACCCAAGTTAAGCTAGCTAAAGCTTGTGTTATGGGTACTAGACAACTGATTTTTGTGTATACATATATATTATACATAGAAAACACCCAGAATGATACAAACAATCATACTCATGAATACAATTGTTTGTACCGTGCGAGGAATCGAACCCGCGACCATCGGTAGTATGGTGGTATGCTAAACCGCTAGACAACCGAGGCTGTCATAAATAAAAATCTATTATAATAATTCTACGGAACCCTAGAAGAATACGCAGATCGTAATCGCTGTAGAAGCACGAAGCTCATTCCAATATTAATTAATATTAAGAGCCGATACCGACGCGAACAAATCAACACACAGACGGACAAGTCGATAACACGATTTGAAACAAAGAAAAAAAAACAATGTACCACCATCCTTGTCTAATAACAACCGTTGGAAAGAGACGGAGCTGTTCAATTCGAATACAGCGTATTTTATGATAAATAGCACAATGTAAATGCGTTAAGTGTGTTCTAGTGTTCGATTTTTATTGTTTCAATTTGATTTGTTTATTATTTTTAAACATAGAATATACTAGCTGTTCCTGCGACTTCGTCCGCGTGGTATATAACTAAAAAAAAATCTAAAATAAAAGTAGCCTAAGTTACTTCTTATTACATCAGCTACCTGCCAAAAAAAGTCTCATCGAAATCGGTCCAGCCATTTCAGAGATTAGCCGGATCAAACAGACAGACAGACAGACAAAAATTATTAAAAATGTTATTTTGGTGTACCCGCGTATCATATTTATATTCATGCATGTAGCAAATAACGATTATTTCAATGTTACAAAGAGATACTCCAATTTTATTTATATGTATGGGTATACTTTTTGATTCTGGCTGAAAATAATAAGGTTTATATCGGTCTTGTATTAAAAAATTGAAAATCGAACATAAGTTGGTTATAAAAAGAAAAATTTGTATTATTTTTTGTGTATACACATAATGGCAGTAATATAAGTAACAGTAGTTCTCTATTATAGTTTAAATGAAGTACAATTGTAAAAAAAACTGTATTTATTCTGCAACAAACTGTCAAGCAGTTCAGCGATAGCTGTATATGTGCAAAACCTGTGATACACATGTTAAAAAAAAAGAAAAAGTCACGTTCTAAAGTTGGATACAAATTTGGTTAAGTAATTAAATTTTAAATGCCTACGAACTCGGAAACGTGATGTTCGATTTTTAAAAAGATTCTCGAATATTTTATTAATTTACACAATATGGCTCCAATGAGAAATTGAATTGATTAATATTCCATCTTGATAATATCTATACATATAAATAAAATTGGAGTGTCTGTTTGTAATATTGAAATAACAATTTTTACTACAAGTAGGTATATGAATATAAATACAGTACATACACCAAAATAACATTTTTCATAATTTTGTCTGTCTGTCTGTTTGTTTCGGCTAATCTCTATAATGGCTGGACCGATTTTGATGCATATGAATATAAATAAGGAACATACACCGAAATAACATTTTTTTAAATTTTTGTCTGTCTGTCTGTTTGTTCCGACTAATCTCTGAAATGGCTGGACCGATTTTGATCGGACTTTTATTGGCAGGTAGCTGATGAAATAAGGAGTAACTTAGGCTACTTTTATTTTAGAAAAATAAAGTTTAATTACACAAGTACAGCTCACTACATAGTATAAAACAGTCGCTGTCGCTGTCTGTCCGGCCCTATGTATGCTTAAATCTTTAAAACTACACAACGGATTATGAAGCGGTTTTTTTAATAGATAGAGTGATTCAAGAGGAAGGTTTATATATATAATACATGTACACCCGTGCGAAGCCGGGGCGAGTAGCTAGGTGTAATATAAAAATATTGCGTTTAGGATTTTCTTATTTATTCGTCCATCGAATACTTTACAGTTCTGCACCATGCGGTTAATTACAGTAGAGGTGATTTTCGATTACACGACGGCGTGGTTGATACAAAAAAAGTCGCAACAGCCCCGTGACCCACCACCGCAAATTAGACAATATCTAATAAACGTCAAGAGCTATATTCGTGTGTTTACTGCAAACGAGAGTCGTTCGAACACTAATAAATTAACATGTTTTAATGACCTAATCAAAGTTTATGAGTCGAGTCGAATCCCCACCGACTCCTAGTGTTGCCCGATTGACTTATTTTCGCTTAAAAAACCTCGCAGATACCGTAATTATTTTCGAGTTTTATGAAGATTGGAATTTTTGTTAACATGATGTTTTTACGGCGCGTATGATTTACGCGCATTATTTCCTGCTGTCTCCCGCAGATGTACTCACCCATAGCATCTGTAACAAAAGATACACAGTTTTAGTTGCGGCTCGTCATCTGTACTATTTTAATTGTAAACAGAATGGGTACGATCATCTGTTACACAACTTCACGACTTGTACACATAAAGCCTCCTCTATCTGTACAAGTCCGATCGATTCCACTGTTTTTTTATATCTCCGTGATCACACAGACAATATCGTTGTATTGGTTTTTAAATATTATATTATATGTATGTTAGTCTATAAGGTATTTATAATATGGGCCTAGTTGCCTGAAATAAATGAATAAATAAAATAAAATATCTAACTAGCTGTACTCGCGACTTCGTCCGTGTGGAATTTAACTTTATTTTTCTAAAATAAAAGTAGCCTAAGTTACTCCTTATTACACCAGCTACCTGCCAAAAAAAGTCCCATCAAAATCGGTCCAGCCATTTCAGAGATTAGCCGGAACAAACAGACAGACAGACGAAAATTGTAAAAAAAAATATTTTGGTGTATGTATCGTATTTATATTCATATGCATGTAGTAAAAAACGGTTATTTCAATATTACAAACAGACACTCCAAATTTTATTTATATGTATAGATAATAATAATCTTAGGACAATTTACACAGCGGCATCTAGTTCCAAATTCAGCTAGATTAAGCTTGTGTTATTGGTAAAATATAATTTGAAAATGGAACGTAGAGCTCTTAGAGAACGTTCGACGTTCCATTTTCAAAATGAGTAATTTATTTTTAAGAAACATTTAAAGGCTATTTGTTATCGCAAAATGACCAGCCAGCCAGAGATAAGCTTCTGTATATCATTAGGGAGATACAGACAAACAAATAATAGGTATTCCATTCATAAGACCACTATAATGATCAGTATTAACATACGAATCGTATAAAAGTAACATAGTTGTTAGGGAATGCGATACTAATTAAAACACGAATCGATTTTATGCGAATGTTATTACGGTATATCGGTAAATTTTAATAATCGATTCGATGAATTTTTATTGAATTAAACATACCTATATGAATATACTGTGCCTTCAGTTTATTTATTTCTTTAATTTTGGCGATACTGTATCTTCAATTGATTTTTTTTTTTAATTTTAGCGATATCTCCGTGGGCATGGGAATTGCATGTCATAGGGTTTTCTCTATATGTAAGTGATGGAAGAGTGTGGGAAGTACAAAAAGCTGTACAGTTATGAGCGTTGGTTTTTAATTGTGAATGAATGTAAACTATGGTACATATATATCTGCAGATTTTGCCAAGTAGAGGTAACGCCACTACATCCTATATGGTTGTAACCCACTTATGCATAAACGAAATATCTTTTTATATAAAAAACTATTAAATCATTGTTATCTATTCATCTATACATATATATAAATAAAATTGGAGTGTCTGTTTGTAATATTGAAATAACCGTTTTTTACTACATGCATCCTTACTAATATTATAAATGCGGAAGTAACTCTATCTGTCTGTCTGTCTCGCTTTCACGCCGAAAACACTGAACCGATTTAAATGAAATTTGGTACACAGATAGTTTAGACCCTAACAAAAGACATAGGCTACTTTTTAATGCGAAAAAAAGTTTGCAAGGGGTAGAAAGGTGATATGAAAGATTATATGGAAGTATCGTCATTTTACGCGGACGAAGTCGCGTGCGCAGTTAGTATGAATATAAATACGGTACATACACCAAAATAACATTTTTTATAATTTTGTAGTCTGTCTGTCGGTCTGTTTGTTCCGGCTAATCTTTGAAATGGCTGGACCGATTTTGACGGGACGTTTTTTGGCAGGTAGCTGATGTAATAAGGAGTAACTTAGGTTATTTTTATTTTAGAAAAATAAAGTTAAATTTCAAGCGGACGAAGTCGCAGTAACAGCTAGTATACAATAAGAATATATATAGGTGCGTAACGACTCAGTTTTCGGCAAATACTATCTTTTTTTTAATTTTATTTATCCTTATAGGAAAGGCACAGAGTCTAAGACCATACAGCCCTTGTCTTTCGTAACAATATCAGCAAATCCTAATTGCTTCGATTCGACAATTTCCCGCCATAAAAACTGTCACTCATCTGTCACCTGTCAAAACGTCCAATTCTGTCAATTATCAAGTGTCAACCGCTCCGATTTATCATGATAAGCCGTGATAACTTTCTTCAGTAATGATAACGTGGCGAGGTTGCCCTGATATTCATGTTTATAATGTCTTATCAGGAGATTATTAAAAGTAAGCATGTTGGGATATGATATTTTAAGAATAGTACCGACCGAGTTACGTTGTCATTTTAATACTTTATGTTAGGAAGATACTTAAGTAAACTATATATATAATACTAGCTACTCGCCCCGGCTTCGCACGGGTGTACATGTATTATATATATAAACCTTCCTCTTGAATCACTCTATCTATTAAAAAAAACCGTTTCAAAATCCGTTGCGTAGTTTTAAAGATTTAAGCATACATAGGGATGGACAGACAGCGACAGCGACTTTGTTTTATACTATGTAATTATATGCTGGTGGTCAGTACGTTCTTGATGCCTCGGTCTAGCAGTTTAGCACACCGTTTTAATTCGCGATGGTCGCGGGTTCGATTCCTCGCACGGTGCAAATATTTGTATTCATGAGTATGATTGTTTACCAATCTGGTTGTTTTCTGTGTATATTGTGTATGTATTTACAAAAAAAATTAAGTATGTATTACAGTTATCGAGTACCCATAACACAAGCTCTGCTTACCGTGGGACTAGATGGCGCTGTGTTAATTATTCAGAATTATTTACTTATAACGAAGCACTAAGTACGGAAACTTTTTTTTTAAACTCAACCCTTCAACGTGCTTGTGTGCACAATTGACCAAAAACTGCACGAACTTAAAAAAAATAGATCTTTATGTAACTATGCAGTTTAGTTAACTTGCGACGTGGAATAGGGCTGCCAATGTACGAGCGTAAATTACAGGAGGAAGTGTGAGATTGGAATGGCAACGTGTGAGTGGTTTTTTAATGGCAAATGGAATGCTGCACCCGCCGGCACTAACGGTTGATACTAGCGGGGCACCAGTGAAGGATGACTAGATGAGTATGAGGTCAGGTTAGTCCATGGAAAGTTCACCATTCAATTTAACTTGATGGTTTCCAGGAGGAACCGCGTGGAGGTCAATCTGACCAAGGTACGATACAGAGCAATGGGATTATTAATCCACATTACTACCCCCTTCCCACGCGAGTGGTATCACGAGTGTTACATGAGGTGGACAGCTTTTTAACGGACAGTATTGCGGATATCACTTTATCATATCACGCTAGTGATATCACTCATGTGATGCCATTCTAGAGGACTAAGATGTACCTCTTAATCTGTAACTTTTATTCGACAAAGCAAGCAGCATGACGGCTGAAATATGTGATACAGAGATACACACGTAGAAGACTTCCTGCAAACCTTACCTGCTAGATCTACGGAAGTCAGAGTAGTACGAACGTGTTTTTTTTCGGACTACTCTAATGCTGTTGGCCGCAGCTGGCCTTTACAGCTTCACCGGACGTTAGAGGGCGAGTGCAGATGGCACTTCAAACCCGCGGAAGGACTTATGGAGCGGCTGAAGGCCAACTCCTGCCAGACGGATACGACTTTAGTCTGACACCATTAGGGGTTCGAACCTCGGCTCAGGGGGGGGGAAATGGGATTGTTAGTAATGTGGACTAATGAACCCATTACTAGCAATGTACCATATCAGGTTGACCTCCACGCGGTTCCCCCTGGAAACCATCGTGTTAAATTCCTGGTGAATTTGTCACGATGGGCTAACTGACCTCACCTCATGCTCATCTTATCATCCTCCACTGGTGCCCCGCCAGCGTAAACCGTTAGCGGCGGGTGCACCATTCCATTATCATCCATAAAAAAACCTCGGCTCAGGCCGTCGCAATTTCGATCCCCGTTTGAATTGGATGGAGGATCGATTGGAGGGGACGGATCTGGTGTACGAAGTTAATGAGGCAATACGAGATTATTACTAGATCGATCTAGTACAGATTTTCTTAATGTTGGCAACCCTGATGCGGCGAGCGTGCTGGCTCGCCCGTTTTAATTCTATTTACATTCCGCTCGGGACGGGTCCGCACGACCGGCCGCCGGCACCGTGAGCGGTTAACTCTAGTTCGACCCAGGTTAGTGTTTTAGGGTTAGGTTTTTATTTCATAGCTCTAGTTCCACCCAGGTTAGTGTTTAAGGGTTAGGTTTTTATTTCATAGCTCTAGTTCGACCCAGGTTAGTGTTTTAGGGTTAGGTTTTTATTTCATAGCTCTAGTTCCACCCAGGTTAGTGTTTAAGGGTTTTTTTTAATGTGATAATGAAATGGTGCACCCGCCTGCGCTAACGGTTTACGCTGGCGGGGCACCAGTGGAGGATGATAAGATGAGCATGAGGTCAGGTCAGTTAGCCCATCGTGACAAATTCACATGTAATTTATCACGATGGTTTCCAGGGGGAACCACGTGGAGGTCAACCTGACATAGTACATTGATAGCAATGGGGTCAAGAGTCCACATTACTAACAATCCCCTTCCCCCCAGTGTTTAAGGGTTAGGTTTTTATTTCATAGCTCTAGTTCCACCCAGGTTAGTGTTTAAGGGTTAGGTTTTTATTTCATAGCTCTAGTTCCACCCAGGTTAGTGTTTAAGGGTTAGGTTTTTATTTCATAGCTCTAGTTCCACCCAGGTTAGTGTTTAAGGGTTAGGTTTTTATTTCATAGCTCTAGTTCTACCCGGGTTAGTGTTTAAGGGTTAGGTTTTTATTTCATAGCTCTAGTTCCACCCAGGTTAGTGTTTAAGGGTTAGGTTTTTATTTCATAGCTCTAGTTCCACCCAGGTTAGTGTTTAAGGGTTAGGTTTTTATTTCATAGCTCTAGTTCCACCCAGGTTAGTGTTTTAGGGTTAGGTTTTTATTTCATAGCTCTAGTTCCACCCAGGTTAGTGTTTTAGGGTTAGGTTT